GAGCCCGGCCGCTTTCCCATAGGTCACAGAACCTCTGAGCCCGGCCGCTTTCCCATAGGTCACAGAACCTCTGAGCCCGGCCGCTTTCCCATAGGTCACAGAACCTCTGGGCCCGGTCGCTTTCCCATACGTCACAGAACCTCTGGGCTCGGCCGCTTTCCCATAGGTCACAGAATCTCTGAGCCCGGCCGCTTTCCCATAGGTCACAGAACCTCTGAGCCCGGACGCTTTCCCATAGGTCACAGAACCTCTGGGCCCGGCCGCTTTCCCATAGGTCACAGAACCTCTGGGCCCGGCCGCTTTCCCAGAAGTTTGAGGTGAAGCTGAAAGATGAGAATCTTCTGGCCCACAGATCAATAACGGAGGAAGTTTCAGAGCCAATCTGATGCATATTTGATGAGACTAAAGGATGGTTTAATGTTCTGACGCCTCACTTTGCTTTTATCTCATTTCCTGTATAAAAAATGCTGCTTAACTGTTTGGAGATGAACCATGAACCCAAATAAAGATTCATCTGAAAGATACCAAATCAAAATGAGCCAATAATCTTTAATTTAGCTGCAGCGCCCCCTACAGTTTGTAATGTTCAGGAAAAACATGACAATAAAAACCTGAGCCGCTGTTCAGGAGCAAAGTTTTCCATCAGGCTCGATTACGTCTAATCAGGTTTTCTGATCTATTCATCCAAAGCAAATCTTTCTGCTTCAGTCCAGCAAACATCCAGAGGCTCCAGAAGCTTCCTGGTTGGTTTAAGTTGATTTTTTTACGCTTTTGATTTGAAAAAGCTTGAAGGTTTCGTCCAAATATTCAGACCAAGTTAATCAAACACAGAGAAACATGATTGAAGGTCGTCTCTAAGTCCTGCATCATCAGGAGGAAGAAATGTTGAACTTTGACCCAAACAGATTCGTTTAGCTCCCAGTCACCAAGGAGGAACCAGTGGCCCCTCCCAGCACTCCCAGAACCTTCTGCGGTTCTGTTGGCCCTGAGCGGAGCCAGGAGGATGGGTGCAGCTCAGTTCCCCTCAGCCGACCACAGAGGGCTGTGACATCACTTCCTGTGGGTCTGTGAGGGTCGTCATGGTAGCAGGGCAGGAAAGATGTTCGGATGTTTTCTTCATCAGAAATAAACTGAAAATCTGATCATTAGGAATCATTTTTATTCTGCTTTTAATCTGATTAAAATCTCAGAGAGTCTCGTCTCCTATGGTTTCCTCTCCTGATCACAACCGGTTTTTATTCTCTAATCTCTAAACTGGATTAGGTTCTGGATTTTTCTTATTTTTCAGTCCCTAAAACTAAAGAACTGAATCCGGTGAACGGATCAGTGAAAGAAGATCCGGACTGAAGGGAGGAATCGTTTCTGAACAGAACAAAAACTGGACCTTCTGGTTCTTCAGTCTGAGATACTTCCTGATCACTTCCTGTTTCTTTGATCAAACCTGTTCAGAGTTTTAAGAAGATTTAGTTTGTTCCAGTTTTTTATGGTGTTGATGTTCTCCTCCTGATTCTCCTCCTGCCTCCATCATCTCAACTTCCTGATGATTTCATCTTGTTTTTATTTGCCTTCAAATTCCACTCAGATTATAAAATAATAGTCTTTTTTTCCTGCTGCAGATTATCTGCATCGTCAGATTATCTGCATCGTCAGATTATCTGCACCGTCAGATTATCTGCACCGTCATGCTGACTCAGCTTCTCACATCTTTCATCTTTAATAATTTATTTTGTTTCTTCACCGACTTCCTTTAATATTTTATTAAATTTATTAAATATTTTCGTCAAATTTGACAGAAAATATTTTAGATCTTTGTTATTTTAAAGCAAAGTAAAAGTGTTTTAAAAAGTATATTTTTCATTAATTTCCTATTATGTAAATATTTTTCTTTTTTATGAAGTTCTGTAAAAATGATTAAAAATGATTTAACATATTTAAAAACAAAGATTAGAGGAATAAATTCAGTCTAATTTTATTTTCCATCCCTCTAACCGTCCCAGAAATGAACATTTGTCAGATATTTTCTTCCTAATGAGTTTAAAACTGTTTGATTCTAAATATTATAAAAATTAAACTTGTAGTTTTTCTGGATGTTTCCTTTATTCCCTAATAAAGTGTTTTTGCTGCTTCTTACCCACATACATGACCCCATCCTTGGTCTTGCTGGCGGCCTCCTCCACCCCGGCCTTGGTCTTCTCGGCGGCGGCCACCACTCCGTCCTTCGCCATGGAGAATCCTTTCCTCAGGGCGTCCATGATGGGATTGTTGTCCAACTCGTCTCCTGAGCTGTCCTCTCTGCTCTGCTGCACTTCGCCTCCGTCTGCCTCAGATCTTTCTGCTACTGGATGAGAGGAGGGGTGGAGGGAGGACACGTGAGGGAGGGAGGGGGGTGAGGA